GTTTAGGGTTCAGGATTTAAGGTTGAGGGTTAATTGCTTCACAGCTTCGGGGTTTGAGGCTTTCGGGTTGCGGGTTTACCGTCCTGCACTCTGCCAAGATGCTTCCTCTTCGAGCACCGCCCAAACCTGGACGTTTTCGTTTTTCATGTGCACTGAACAGCTTGTGTTGAAACATTCCCGGATTTCACCTCCACCATCCTAAAATCAATCGAGCAACGGGTCTGAACCGATGCCAACCAGGGAATTGCTTGGATCTGAAATACGTACAGTTTGGATACCTATCCCTGAACCCCATAGGCCCTACACCCTTGAGGTACACAGCCCAGCACTTCCACAGGGTACCTAGCAGATGAGATCTTCAGCCTAGGACTTGCTGATCAGGAGCGAACTGAATCTCTTGCCAGGGGCTTTTTCGAACAGTCACGTAGGTACATGGTGACCATGGTGGTTTATATAGAAACCTGACAAAGACACCCTGGTCTTATCTTCCCAGAAATATTAGGGTCCATGTTTGAATAACCCTAATGAAGACCCATGGGTTTCTGAATCCGGCGGTCCCCAATTTACAACACTACCCCAGAGCTATTGAGGTTGACAAAACAAACTTGCCATCGACGGAAGAGTTTGGCACAACATGAAGTTAAGTTAGTTCAGTTGGCCCTAGACCCGCCCCCCCCCCTCAAAAAAAAAACAAAAAAGAACAAAAAAAAATAGCTTTCTCCTCGGTTCCTACAAGACCCAAAAAGCTTTGAACCCCAAACTACTCCCTAAAAGATCAGCCTCCGAACCACCACATCCTGAAGCCGCGATGCCCAAAATCTCGATGACCTGCAAGAAATTCAAAAAACAGGGGCCTCCAAAGGGTTTGGGGCTCCTTTATTAAAGAAAAATTATAATAAGGAACCAGAGGAAAATCTAGGCAATTATTAGGCTTCTATATTAGGGCATGATTCTTGGGTAGAGATCCGTACTGTAAAGCTACATCACAATGTAGGCCACGATGTTAGACCACTATGCCTCAACCCCTCAACGCTCAACTATAAATCGGGCCTCCTCTAAGAGGTGATCCTGCTTCGGTGGCCGGTGGAGCATCAGGCAATCGACGGGACCAAGACCTCAGGCTTAGGGTTGAGGGTTGCGGGTTTNNGGGTTGCGGGCTGAGGGTTTAGGATTTAAGATTCAGGGTTTAGGGTTACAAACTCCACCGCTAAGTAAGAGAAACACTGCAGCCCGACAGCCCTAATGCCGGGGCCTTGACATTATTCAATAGGGCTTTGGGGTATAATGCGCTATGACTATACTCAAGTAGTTATAGTACAACATACCACAATATACTCCATGGGGAATTGGGGTATATTGTGCTATAGCTATACTAAAGACCCCTTCCAAACAAAACATAGTATAGGTAGTTATTCAGGCCCCTATGTTAAACCCTGAACCCTAAGATAGGTGAGAATCCGGGACAAGGTCTCCAAGAAGCACGGCACTCTGAACCCTGGGGTTCAGGTTTAGGGTTTAGGGTTTAGGGTTTAGGGTTTAGGGTTTAGGGTTTACCCTAAGGCTCATGGACCCCCAAAGTGAAAGCCCAAACCTTAGCCCCCAAAGCCCAAACCTTCCCCTAGAAAGCCCCAAAGAGCAATAAGGGCCTTAGGGTAGGGTTGGAAACAGAAGCCGTGTCTGTTGTTGATGACCCCTAACAAGAAAACTCTCAGGGCCCAGGTACCTTGTAAGCATCTAATCTCCAAGCACTGACTTATGTTATATATATATATATATATAACCGTTAGGGAGAACGCCTGGTCAAGAGACTAATATCCAAAATCCCATGGGCACTCCGGCTCTTTTGCAGCATGCCGATGTCAAATCGATGTGTCGAAGCCAGCAAGGTGCCAAGCAGGAGTTGCACTTTACTGCCGCTTCCTTGTATGGAGACGACTATAGTGTAGGGCGTGTATTGTGTAAGGTCCTCCATGTTCTGTATAGCCACACCACTGCAGCCTCACCCAATGGCCCCAAACCCCAAACCCCTACAGCCTACATCCACGCAGTGATCAACAATTCTTGGATAACAGCTAAGGGGCTCAAGCCTCACAGTATGTCTTTAAGTCATAACACAAGGGCACAGTGAAAATCAGAATGGGGTCTTGGGGATGTTCGGATACGACATGGTGTAGCTAGAGTAGCTTTCCAGAATTACAAGGGAAGCGCTTCCAATTCAGATTTTGGGGGGTTTGGGCTAGACACGGCGTGTAGGAGGGGTACGTACTTAAAGGCTCATGCGACTTAGCAGTTAGGGTTATAAATAAGGTAACTATACTTATAGCCCCAATTAGGGTACTTATAACTGTACATATTAAGTCCCATGAACCTCCAAGTATGGTTGATTCCGGTCTAAGCCCCGGCCTGCAGCATCGAGCTAGCGGGGTTTTACTCAAGGCTTGTTAAGGGTCTAGGGTTTAGGGTTTAGGGTTGAGTCGAGCTTCTGGCACCTCATCTTCGGCTTTTGATTCTTTGTACAAGTATCGGACTTTGCCACAGATGTGTCGTCCTGGTTTGGGGAGACTTCAACCCAAACCAATTGTACTAAGCACATGATGCGGGACTATCACCAGCACCCGGACCCAACATAACACAGACCCAGTGACAGAAGCAACATGTGAAGCCAATGTCCCAAACCCAGTAAAACGTGGGCTCATGGTTTATGATAGTGTCTGGCCCAGCTGGCTTACGGGATCAAACCAGTGTCTTGAATCATCGATGCTGCTGGACATTTCACGGCTTACTGCCTGGTGCCGAGCACATCAATCAACTCGGCGGAGAGCTCAACTGACGCAGCACAAACGCAGCTCCTGCCCTCCACATCGAATGGAGCACCTGAGCTTAAAGTAGGGCCGTAGGGGCCTTCATAATGAGAATAGGGCTTTGGGGGTATATTCTGATATAATTGTTATAAGGAGCCCCAAAATAGTATTAGGCCCCTATACTAGGATCAAGAGCACCTTAAAGTATTCGACTCTAAACTCTGATCGCAGATCCTGGAGCTTCCGGCACAGGGCATCAGTCCCGAAAGCGGCCGAAGCATCTTCAGAGTACGACATGCAGGCTAATACTGTGAGATCGTGAAACTTGTGGTTTTAAACCATCTGGGGCAATCAAACTTTCGGACCTGAACCGTTTCCCCCTGAACGCCCCTCCCACGAATTCAGTCCCGCACCCTGAACCCGACATGTTTAACAGATAAATCCCAAACCCCTCAACCTCTGAA